TGCATTTAATTGTTGTGTGGGAGCATGGATGACATAGACATGTGGGCAGAATGTTGCACAGAATCTTACGGGGGAGTGGGGGGGTTTGAATAGGGCCCCAGGAGAGTTGGCTAAAACACTTCAACATGCATGGATGACATCTAAAACCTCCTCATACATGTTGTAGATGAGGGAACAAGGTTATAACATGGGAGAAAGCTCCATTAAAGTTGATTTTGCATCACACCCTCTCTTGACTGATTCTGTGCATGGTCCCTGATGAATAAAGAATAAACGTACTCCCCACCACAGCATATCATAACAAAGAGCATGATCACATGTCTCACAGTCCATATAAGGGCATTAGCAGATGATGGGTCCTCGTCCTTGAGCCTGCCCTTATCTTAGTGTCTTTTACCTGTGGTAGATTTGTGACCTCTGGGGCCAGTTCTGATAAAGTACAGTATCTGTCCATTCAAATGAAGCTGAGCCGATAACAGCTCCTCCTAGAGGATATAAGAACTGTGCTCCAGTCTGCAGCCTGTGGACGACAGAACAGGAGACTCCTTAGAGGTGCTAGTTTATTCCTCGTTCAGTCCTGTGTGGTCTTGGTTTAGAGCTGGTTTAGTTTTGTTATAGTCCTGGTTCTGTCTTGGTGTACTCCTGGTTTTAGTCTTGGTTTAAACTTCCAGAGTTGAAGATGAGGTGTTCCTTGGTGCTTGTGTTGATTCTCGTCTGTCTCGCTCTGACCCAAGCTAGCCCCACCAAACCCAGTTCTTCTTCTCCACAAACTATTGACACCACAGAGATATGTACTCTGCACACAGACTTACAACTGGTCTGGTCCCAAAACCAGATATAAAAAATACATCTGGTTTTGTCCCTTCCCTGGGAGAGGCCATTATAACCCTATTGTTTTTCAGCTGAAGTTCGGGGACATCGTCTCAGTGCCCCTGTGTGGGGTCGCAAAACACTTTGCGATTTATGTGAGAAACGAAACAATTGAGGGCATTAGCAGAAACCTGGAGGACGACTTCTTTCACCGCCAAAAGCGTATGATCCAACCTGTAACACTACTGTACTCCCACAGACCAAACCTGTAACACGACTGTACTCCCACAGACCAAACCTGTAACACGACTGTACTCCACAGACCAAACCTGTAACACGACTGTACTCCCACAGACCAAACCTGTAACACGACTGTACTCCCACAGACCAAACCTGTAACACGACTGTACTCTCACAGACCAAACCTGTAACACGACTGTACTCTCACAGACCAAACCTGTAACACGACTGTACTCCCACAGACCAAACCTGTAACACGACTGTACTCTCACAGACCAAACCTGTAACACGACTGTACGGGGAGTGTATGGCCATCTGATGACCTGGCTGACTGAGAGATTACAGAGACATTACTGGTTTATCATGGTTTAGTCCTGGGCTAGACCTGGTTTAGACTGGTTTTAGACTTGACTCAGTCTTGGTTTAGTCCTGGGTTAAACCTGGGTCAGTCCTGGTTTAGTCCTAGTTTAGACCTGGTTTAGAGAGATTTTAGACATTACTGCCCCTGTAAATATGTTGCTTGTTTTCAGTTGGTCCAAGCGGCTGCGTGTTTAAAGGGATTCCAAATGGACGAATCGTAACGAAAGCGGTAACTTAAGATTTAAAACTGTGAATATTTTTGTCTCTGTTGGAGTTTTCACTGAGGTGTTTTCTGCAGACAAATTACGACCTTACAACTGAGAAAACCAGCAAAGAGGAGATAATTAAGAGAATTAAGGAGAAGGTGAAGGACTGTGGATCATAAACCTCTCAAAAACAACTGCGAGCACACGGTCACATACATACGGTTTGGACTGGGGCTCACGCTACAGGTACAGAACAAACACCTGTACAATATACACCTGTACACACACACACACACACCCCTGTACAATATACACCTGTACACACACACACACACACACCCCTGTACAATATACACCTGTACACACACACACACACACCCCTGTACAATATACACCTGTGAGGCCCCACACCGCCCCAGAATCACACCCTTGCCTCACAGCAAGAAGGTCCTGCCCGAAGGGAATGCCACTTACGATTCAAAAACTCTATTCGCACGGGATAAGTACAACCTGGGGACGTCTGGTAATCTCTGTGTTACTTGCAGCGTATGCGTACGGGATAAGCAAAGTCCGTAAATGATTCTATTTTACTAACATTGACACAGAGATTGAAAGAGAAAAGAATGCAGAAAGAAAAGAAGGAGATGCAGATTCGCTGTTGCTAACACTTCCTCTGGGAAAGAAGGTGCTGGATTGGTTTTCTTATTAAAGGGCCCAAATGACATTATCTCCTGATCTCTGTTCAAATGTAGTTTGCTCATTACAAATAGGCCTGAAGTTGTGTTTTGATTCATTCACATGTTTAACACACAGGGTCCTATCTGGTCCTGTGTGTTAAATATGGAGTTCTAAAGACTCCATGTTTAACATGGGCATGGGATGTTCAGTGATTTGCTAGAATTGTTAAAAAAATTAAAATAAAAAAAATAGTGCACTGAAAAACAAGGTGTAACCTGCTCAAGACTTTTTATTTAGAAATATATAAGGATGATAAATGCTTAACATTCTTAACATGTTCATGTGTGTGCGGGAGTCATCCAGATGCCCTCCCACAGCAGAGCACAGCCCCTTGCCCGCTCCCTGTATCAGCTCAGTTCTGCTCTATAATTTGGTTTGGTTTGGTCTGGATCTGTACAAAAGCTTCACATGAAGCTGTTTACAGCAATGTCCTAAAGTGTTTTTCTTACCCTGGTCTGCAGTTCTAATGCTGCAATGTCAGATTTCCTCACATCCTTGAGTACTTTCTGTTATCAGCTCCAGTTCATTTCCAAATTATTCCCATTGTACAGCTTTGGTTAATTTATAAAGTTGGTTGCCAGTAGGTAGACGATCATCAAACCCATAGACCTGACCAGGAGCATTTAACATTTAACATCAGCGAGAAGACTGAAATGTGAACTGATACACTAACACAAGAACAATCCAGGACATGTTTGTAGAGTCTAAACTACTGAGTGAGCAGCTTTTAAACAGAATAAGACCTCATGAAGACACAGGGAGGGCATCTGACACACAGGCTCTTCTCAGAACACGTTTGTAAAGTCTGAACTACAGAGTTAGCAGCTTTTACACATAAAACAAATAATAAAAAGGGCCGCTTCATTTTCATCATTGTAACAGTTTTAGATTTGGATTGGGATGTGATCTGATAAGGAGTGCTTGTTTTGTTTTGCAGGACGGGACTTGGGTCAGCGGGGTTAAGCATATTTGTACGGACGGGGTCAAAAACTGTAACATCTATGATGACATCGTCAAGAACGCCGAGGCCTGGGAACAGTGTGTTAAAAACAACAATAATGTTGTCCCCATCTGAACTCAGGATCCGTTGATAGTTTGCAGCTAATGCCATTAACCTTCCCTGGGGGTGTGATGCTAACTGTAGGCATGCTCTGTCTGAACTTTTATCTGATCTTTATTTGAACACAATCTGATTTAGAAAGAGTTTGTTTAAGTTGGAACTAAAACAGGTGAGAGCTTGTATGGAACACATAGGCCTGTCTCTATTGCAAAACACTGTCAAAACATTTTTAGATCATCTGAAAGCTCAAGAAAAAATACAAAATGGATTTATTTACAGATCTCCTGTTGTAGTTCAAAATGAGTCAGTTGTTTCTGGTCAGATTGTGTTAAAACAAAGCACAGATTTAAATCTAACTTGAGTAACAGAGCTTCAGACAGAGCAGTGCCTACAGTTAGCTTCACCCCCCTTTGAATGTTGATGACATCAGCTTTAAAGTATCAATAGGTCAGTCATATTTAACACAGATGTGGCAGACAAAATGAATATTGTTCAAATGTATGCATTTCTGGGAGGATCGGCTCTGGAGTCTGGTCACTGTTCACAGATCATCAGGTTCAGTATCTGTCAGGTGCAGATGTGTTCACCTGGTTTATGGTTCATGTCTGTAATTCCTGGGTCTATCCACATGAAACAAAAACTGGCACAAAGTTCAGAGTCTTCTCTGTCACGAGAAATAAACTAAAATCAAATGATTTTTTCACAACAGCTTCAGAAAGTGGAGTCATTATTCAACCCCAAAGACCAGAGTGTTTCATCTGAAAGGACTTTCAACTAAAAGATTAATATGACAAGTTTGTGGATCTGATCTCAAACACAGAATGAGAAGAATTAGTGAATCAGAAATTTGGAGATTTCTTTAAAAACTGTGAATTTCCCTTAGAGTTATATAGACCCCTGCTCCATCTGAAATACAACATCCCCAAATGACCAAGCAGCCGCACCTGACCAGAACCTGCAGCAACAAGTTCAATAAAATACAAGAGAAAAGCTGTGTTGTATGTTTTATTTTTACATCTGTAGTTTTGGCTTCGTTCTGCTTTAGACCTAGTTTAGTTTGTGAGTTGTGTAAAAATACTTGCTTAAAAATAATATAAATTTTTAACGCATTAACTCGAGACACTACAGTGAAGCAGGTGCACAGTAAAGTCTCTGCTTTGGTCCTGGTTCAATATTTTAGTTTGGACCCAGATCCGATCTGCTTCAGACCTGAGTCATTCTATAATTCAGTCCATGTTTCAGACCTGGTTTAGACCTGGTCCAGTGCCTGGTTCAGTCCCTGGTTCGGTGCCTAGTTCTGTGCCTAGTCCAGACATGGTCCTGTCCGTTTTTCAGTGCCTGGTCCAATCCATGGTACAGACCTGGTTCAGTCCGTGGGTCAGACTTGGTTCAGACCTGGTTGAGATCTGGACCAGTCCCTGGTTCAATGCCTGGTCCATTCCGTGGGTCAGACTTGGTCCAGACCTGGTTCAGTACTGGTTCAGACCTGGTCCAGTCCGTGGTCCAGTCCGTGGTCCAGTCCGTGGTCCAGTCCGTGGTCCAGTCCGTGGTCCAGTCCGTGGTCCAGTCCGTGGTCCTAGTCCTGGTTCCTGGTCCAGTCCGTGGTTCAGACCTGGTTCAGACCTGGTCCAGTCCGTGGTTCAGACCTGGTCCAGACCTGGTTTAGACCTGGTTTAGACCTGGTTTAGACCTGGTTCAAACCTGGTCCAGTCCATGGTTCAGGCCTGGTTCAGGCCTGGTTCAGTCCTGGTCCAGTCCATGGTTCAGTCCTGGTTCAGTCCTGGTGTTTCCCGGCACACACCCATGTCAGTGGTGGTGTTAGTTCCTTTGTCTCACAGACGGAGGTCCAGCTGCACTGACAGCAGTACGAGCGAACCCCACGACTCCTCCTCAGTTTGGCCTGAAGCTTGGAGCGCTCCGGCACGTTGTTCCTGAACACAGAGAAAAGTCACATCAGAATGTTTCCTCCTCAAAAACAGACTGGAGTTGTGTTTTGTTTCATTCACACATGTTTGAGTAAAGCTTTTTTATTAGTCTACATCTCCAAAGCTCAACATGTTCTGTTTCACCTTGTGATGTCACGAAGGGATAGTTTTCAAGTTAAGTTCTCGTGAAGGTGTATGGAGTTTAAAAACACAGTGGAGCACTTCCTGTATTACATCACAAGGTGGAACAGAGTACTTTCCATTCGCGAGTAAAACAAGGCTGAATCTGCAGGTTTGTGTGTTAAACATGTGAGTGAAACAAAACATAAGTCCAGGTCTGTTTGTGATGAGGAAACGACATTAGAACAGAACAGAAAATCGAGTCATCCAGGCCCCACTGTTGCTGAGCAGAGAGAAAAGAGGAGAGGAGAAAACAGGAGAGATTACACTGACAGAGAAAAGCTTTTTTAAAGATGGAAATACAAAGACAAAGTGTCTGGAAATCATTTAAAATTACAAAATAAAGAAGGGGACCAGCTGCCATTCCAGTAATACACAAAAACATATTAACCATTATTTTACACTCTTAAAGATGCACTAAGTAACTTTTCTGGTGGGGGGCACACCACTTGGTTGTCTCCATGTATATTAGTATATTAGGTTTTATGATTCTCCACAGTGTTTTTGCTGTAGAAATACCTTGATAAGCATCTGTGTGTTACAAGGACTGGTGATGGCACCTGACTGTCTCCATGGAGATAGAGAAGTTTAATGCTAGGGTGTGGAACAATATAGGTAAAATTATATACATATAATAAATATCTCAAACTGTACATTAACTTACTGATCTGACCTGTAACTAGTCCAGGTGGTGTCTATGCAAAGCAATAAAATCTGCACAGAGACAGAGACAAGCCGCTGATTGTGCTGGTGTGATGTTTTCTTTCACCTGAAGAAGAGGTAGTCGCAGCTCTGGTCCCACTCAAAGTCGTCAAACGCCAAAACGCCAAAGTCACATGACATACACCGCAACTGGTCACATGACCTGAGGACAGGAAGACCATCATTATTATTTGAAAATAATAAAGATTATTTTCAAATGATCTGCTGTTCATAAGTAACAAAAAGAAATACAAACATCTAATCAACTAAAAATATTCATTCTAATATCAATTTCAAGGTCCATGTAAATTATCACATGACTTTATTAGTGACAAATAAGTAGAAGATAGTAAATTATGGGGCTTACTGCAGTGTAGGATAGTCAGAAGTATCTAATGGATATTGTTTAGTATTGAAACTAAATACTTATTTGAGCAGGTATCGATACTGAAGAACATTGTGCCACATTTCAAATGAATGTAAAGTGCTACACAAATAAAGTTTGGTTGATTGATTGTATCAGAACAAGTAGAAGAGCACATAGACCAGTACACACACACGGACCAACATGAACCTACTGCACCACTGAGGATCATACACATATAAGACACATGGGAATAGAAAAGAAAGTTCTACCATTTCAATGTTTATTAATTGTCTAAAGCAAAGGTGTCAAACTGAAATTCACAGAGGCCAAAATTAAAAACTGGGAATAAGTTGTGGGCCAAACTAAATATTTATTAAAAAATTTCAACAACATCTGCATGTTTTCTCTTCTTTCGAGATATGCAATGTCTTTTCTTATTAAAATAAATGTTAATAATAATTGTACTTAAACATTAAAACAGAACAAGCATAATATAAAATAATAACAAAATTTGAAATAAATAATGTCTCTATAGTCTATCTGTAGCCGGCGGGCAGCTCTAATGCAGATTTGATATGATTCTGTGACCAGATTTGGCCCCCGGGCCTGAGTCTGACATGTCTGGTCTAAAGGAAGAGTCTTTTTTTTAATTATAATCACTGTATCAGAATCGGTATTTAGAATCGAGTCTAAACCTTAGTATCGTAATTGATGTATCATGACGACACTACAGCAGTGCCCTCTCACCTTCTGGATGTTGTGGTTCCGATTCCACTTTGGATGGAGCTGCCTCCAATAAAAACTGGACAGCATCTGGACCAGAGTCACAGAAATAAAAGGTAATAATATATAAGAGAACATAAAACATACACTACCAGTCAAAAGTTTGGATACACCCTCTCATTCAGTGTTTTTTTTTTCCTTCTTTTTTCTTTACTACAGCTACATTTTATATACACACAGAAGACAGAAAATATATGGAACAAAATGTATGGAATTATGTTTGCAAAGAAAAAAAAACAGTGAGTAACTTAAAATTATTCTTACATTATATCCAAATCCTCAAAGTATCCACCCTTTGCTTTGTGGAAAAATATTTAGTAGATTTATTTCTTTCCTACACAGTTCTATATATCTTTCTTCGTATATCTGATGTCTTCTGTGTGTATCTATAATCTAGAAAAGTAGTAAAAATTAAACACAAAAATTAAAAATTAAAAACAGAATGAAAAGTATGCCCAAACATTTAACTGGTAGCACATATGAGAAAACAATACAATATAAAACATTTATGATACAAAACAAATGCACTGCAATAAGAAACACACGTACTTTCTTCCCCTGGAGTGACTGGAGCATTTCTTCACAACAGCAGCGACTTTGGAGGACGGCTCTGTCTATTTAATGACATTAAATATTTAAAAAATCACTCTTTTCACCTCATCCGTTTTGTGGTAAAAATACATTGCGTGCAGTAAATATTTGTGTTCACTGACTGTTGTAGGAGTCAAAGCCCCACAGTCTTCCTCCAGTAGTTTGTCTATAAAGGCATCAAGATCGTCACTGGGGCTGCTCACTGGGACTTCACTCTTGGAACTAAAACAAAAGTCAAAAATGAGATCAGTGTAAAATGTCCTGTCAATCATCATATCACTGTCTTCCTATGACCTCTTGTATAAAGCTGAGATGTTATATTTTATTGCTTATTTTTCTATTTTACAGGGGTGGGTCTGTGGGGTAAGTTCTAAAATAAGTTTTTTCTTCTTCACACTCCTTTTCGAGAAATGTGTTTTTCTGTTGTTTACAATGTATACTGTATGTAGTATGTATATGATTATTGTTTCTCCCTTGGTACAAACTCGAAATTAAAAACAAATCAATCAATTAATGTTACTTTGATCTGTACATATACATTTATGTACTTATCCCTTACTGGACACAGCCTCTTGCTCTTTTTTGCTACTTATTTAGAATGTATTATTGTATGTATTTAGATGTATTATTACGTTTTATAGTTTTTACTCTTTGTTATTATATTATATTATGATGTGTGAGCTCCTGTGTCCAAATCATTTCCATTGTGGATCAGTAAAGTTTGTCTAAGTCTAAGGCTAAAATGTATAAAGCATTCAAGGTGTCGGTATATTATCTTTATCTGATACAAGAGCTTGTATACAGTGACATCATGATACTAACATTTCAAATTCAATTTTGATACTGCAAAATAGGCTTGATACTCAATACTGATTCTGATACCACGATGATAATAAAAAACACTCTTTATTTACACAATAAAATGTGATTTTCAACATTGAATAATAGTGTTATGGTCTTATATATGTGTGTAATCCTCAGTGGTCCAGGTAGGTTCATGTTGGTCCATGTGTGTATACTAGTCTATGTGCTCTTCTGCTTGTTCTGATACAGCTAAATATCATTCTAAAGACATTCAGGTGTACATTTGGTGTAAGTACTTTTAAAAATGCCCACTGAGGTCGAATAAACAGTAAATTCTAATATACAGAGCATAAGCAGGTTGCACCAGATAGTAGTTACAAAAATGACTAGTCAACAGAACAATCAGTGTTGGGAAGTAACAGATTGTATGTACCGGAGTTACGTAATCAGAGTACAAATTATGAGTAACTGTATTCAGTTACAGTTACTGTTTCAGTGAGTGGTAATTGGATTACAGTTATTTTGTTGAAATAAATGGATTACACGGTGGTATTTTCCTGTTTTCACATTTTGGGCTAAACCAGGACTAAAACCAGAAATAAACCAGGACTAAACTAGGACTAAACCAGATCTAAACCAGGACTAAAACCAGGACCAAAACCAGGTCTAAACCAGGTCTAAAAGCAGACTAAAACCAGGACTAAATTAGGACCAAAACCAGGACTAAAACCAGGACTAAACCAGGTCTAAAAGCAGGACTAAACCAGGACTAAACCAGGACTGAACCAGGACTAAACCAGGACTAAACTAGCACTAAAACCAGGACTAAACCAGGTCTAAACTAGGACTAAACCAGATCTAAACCAGGACTAAAACCAGGACCAAAACCAGGTCTAAACCAGGTCTAAAAGCAGGACTAAAACGGGACCAAAACCAGGACTAAAACCAGGAGTAAAACCAGGACTAAACCAGGTCTAAAAGCAGGACTAAACCAGGACTGAACCAGGACTAAACCAGGACTAAACTAGCACTAAAACCAGGACTAAACCAGGTCTAAAAGCAGGACTAAAACCAGGACTAAACTAGGACTAAACCAAGACTAAAACCAGGACTAAACCAGGTCTAAAACCAGGACTAAAACCAGGACTAAACTAGGACTAAAACCAGGACTAAACTAGGACTACTACCAGGTCTAAACCAGGTCTAAAAGCAGGACTAAAACCAGGCCTAAATTAGGACCAAAACCAGGACTAAAACCAGGAGTAAAACCAGGATTAAACCAGGTCTAAAAGCAGGACTTAAACTAGGACTAAAACCAGGACTAAAATCAGGACTAAACCAGGACTAAACTAGGACTAAAACCAGGACTAAATCAGGACTAAACCAGGTCTAAAAGCAGGACTAAAACCAGGACTAAACTAGTACTAAAATCTGGGCTAAAACCAGGACTAAACTAGGACTAAAACCAGGACCAAAACTAGGACTAAACCAGGTCTAAACCAGGTCTAAAAGCAGGACTAAATAGGACTAAACTAGGAGTAAAACCAGGTCTTAACAGTATGACACTTAACAATAGGTGAACATAATTGAAGGCAACACTGATCTCATGTAAAAATAATTTCTCTATCAATAATATTTTTAATTTGGTTAAGGAAAGACTGTTTTGTTTTTTTTTTCTTTTAGCACATAAAACATCTCTTGTTAAGATTTCCTCGTCTTTGCTTCTCTACAGTAAACAAAAGTCTGTTCATTGAGACTTGGGCTCAACAGACAATTTGAAGAGAACAAACAAGAATTTTCAAGATGTGGTTGGTACATTCATGTAGTTTTAAAAAGCATGACAATACAAGTAATCCAAAGTATCCAAATTACGTTACTCACTTTAAGTAATTTAAGTAAATTATGTTATAAACTACATTTTGGAGTGTGTAATCTGTAATCTGTAGGGGAATACATTTTAAAAGTCAAGACAACAATAAACGTTTACATAATTGCTAGAATCAAACTTTTAATTGTTGTATTTTAATTCAACAGCATTTACGCTTTTGTCAAATTCACCTGAGCTAAAAGTCTGCAGAACAAAAATTGTGGAAGTTGCAGATTCTTTCAGTTTGATAAGAGTTCTTCATACATGTTCTGTTAGTGTTAGCACTTCGGCTAACTTATCTTAGCACCATGTTTACCTTCTTTTTCTCTGTTCGTCTGCTTTCTTTTCGTGTTCTTGTCCTTTTCCTGCGGACACCGACACCTTCCCACAGAACTTCCGCTCCACTTCGTCCAGCAGCGTGTCCAGATCATCGCCCATTTTCACCAGTCTTACCCATTTACCGCGGACCTAGCATCACAGCTAACTAGCGTGCTACAGCTACAGCCGCAGAGTTTACCGTTGCTAAGTAACGTGTTCCAGAGAAGTGACACAAGAGGGCGCCGGAGGATAAACGACAAACTTACAGCTAAAATATGAAACAAACTAAATTATTATTATTATTATTATTATTATTATTATTATTATTATTAGTAGTAGTAGTAGTAGTATTATTATTATTATTATTATTATTATTATTATTATTATTATTATTATTATTATTATTATTATTATTATTGATCCATGGTACATCCATAGACCCTATATTAGTATTATTAGTATTATAAATAACAAAGGGGCGTTGATCAAAAATGCTAACTCCCCAGCATTAAAATGACAAAAGACCCCCAAGACAAAATACCCCCAAGTAATTAGATTAAATGTGGTCAATGTTAGAGTGGCCGGACGTTCCTTTATTCTGGACAGTCCCAGTTTTCCCAGCAAATTTATCCAAAACCAGTTTATACAATACAATCTATGGGTACGTCTCCTTTTCTGTTCCCTACTGTGGTCACCTGGCGCCCCCTGGAGGCTGCTGTGATGCTGTAGGACATAGAGGAAGGGCACTTTTAGCTTTTTCTACACAGTCTAATTTTGTTCTGTAAATTTAGTCCAGTTTATTTTAGACTATGGGCGGGCGCCATCATCTTTATTTCTCTATTTTAGTGTTTGTCTGTGTTCAGTGAGAGCCGTATTAGGATAATGTCATCACTTGTTGAAGCCGCAGTCAATAAACGTGATTTTACGAAAATTATTTGTTTCCATTATGACTAACATAAGGCATTTAAAAGAAACGCGGTTGTCTCGTTGTTAAACTTGACAAATTAAAATGGAAAAGTGTCGTTGTCGGCAGGATTCGAACCTGCGCGGGGAGACCCCAATGGATTTCTAGTCCATCGCCTTAACCACTCGGCCACGACAACTTATTCTATAATACGTATTGATGACATTTCTTAAAGGGACAGTACACAATTTAATAAAGCGCATGATCTATTTTGATGTTATTTAAGAAAGTATTACCGATAAATTAAAGGGGGCGTTCGAGTGACAGTTAAAATTTGAAAAATTAAAATTAGAAAAGGTTCGAAGACAAAATACCCCTTAGTAATCAGATCAAATGTGGTCAATGGGAGACCAGACGCCAGGTTGACCAGAGCCCTGTGTCCCCTGTCCCAGCAGATTTATACAAAACCACTGATTTGTCCAAAAGTTGTCATCTTTTTGGCAAATAATATCACATCTGCATCTTGTATTTATTTTTTCTTTTTCAATAAAAAAATGATATTTATATAAAGTATTTATATTTAAATAAATATATGACATATTTACTTTTGCCGCCAAATTTTTGTCACCTGACAAGAGATCAAACAGTGACAGTCAACACACGCACACAGAGTACTGTAGTAAAGGTTACTGTAGTGCAGAGTGTTGTAGTACAGAGTACTGTAGTGCAGTTAAGGACTGTAGTACAGTTCTTTTTTTGTTCAGTGTGAGGAGTGTGCAGTTTGTCTGATGTGACCTTTTCAACCTCAACACTTTGAACAAACAAGTATCAAATCTTAAAACCCAATACAACCCAGTATAATCTCTAATAATGCATATTGCAATATAAACATGTTCTGAAATGCACTGGAATCTTGGATTTGTTTAGTAAAACTCAGTCTTCTCTCAAATGTTGTGTGATCTAACAGAATCCTGCTGTGTGAACCAGATCATCTATTAGGACTTTATAGGAGTTTTGTAGGATTCTGATTTGAAAACAGCAACACTTATGTGGAGACAGTGCAAGAGGCTAGTAATACAGACTTTTTACACCTCATGTGGCTGCGGTGATGCTGCAGCACAGAGGAGGGACACTTTTAGCTCCCACAGAATCTGCTGACCCTCCTTGACCAGTCCTCCTATTAAACTGACCTGAGACCTTTGACCGAGACACAAAGGACACTGAGACACACTGCGGAAATGTTGAAGCAGTAAAACTTGAATTTCCCTCAGGATCATTAGAGCATCTCTCTCTCTCTTGACAGAAACATCACATTTTCCCTACAGACGTGTTTAAACGTGGAAACAGGAACACCCACTATGTAGTCAGTCACACCGATGACCAACAGAAACAGGAGACAGGTGTGAGGAGGCGTGTGTGGGTGCTGCACTGCGGAATGGAAATGAAAATGTTTTGTAAATTGAAAGAATCAAAAGTCTTGAGTTAGTATTTTTCATGAGGCAAAGTGAACTCCACACACAAAAGGGGTATCTGATCAAACTGTGGGTGTTTATCTGTTGTGAACACACACTTGTTTATGGTTTGGTGGCTGTGTGACTTCCTTCCTGTAAAAAAAAACAAAAAAAACAACTTATATAAGACACATTGCTTGTATTTGAGTATGATTTTTAAAGCTCCTATATTACACAAAACTGACTCTTGTGAGCTTTAAACCATCTTATAATGTTGCCTCATCAAAAACAGACCTGGAGTTGTGTTTGTTTCATTCACACATGCTTGAGTAACCCAAAATGCTCTGTTCCACCCTGTGATGTCATGGTAGTTTTCATGTTAACAGCTCCTGAATGGCAATTCCAGGGCGGAAATTATCCAAATTATTCTATTGTCTAGTGAAGCTGTGTGGAGTTTAAAAACACATTGAAGCACTTCCTGTTTTTACCACATGACAGAGTGGAACAGAGTGTTTTCTGTTTGAGAGAAGAACTCAGGGTTTGTGAGTTAAACATGCGTGAATGGAACAAAACACAACATTACACAACAGAACACAACATTATAACATGCTTTAAATGTCACAAGAGTCAGTTTTCACTAATACAGGAGCTTTAAACAAAGTTCATATTGCAATTATAATTTTGAGATGTGGCAAAGGAGAAAATCAGTTTGTTGACTGGACAAAAGTTTGTTTGGTCGAATACGTTTCTCAGCTCATCCAAACTGCTTATTCAGTTCTGGTCAAAATCCTGGTGTATACTTCCTTATATGTGTTTGTTGTGTCTTGTTTACAGTTTCTGTTTGTCAGCTTGGCCTATTGACCTGTACAGGGTGTGGGGTCATATTAGCAGAATCATTCAGGGCCATAATGGAGCTTCCACACCTCTGGACCTGACCTGGATACATCTGTTGTTCTCTTATTTGTTTTGATTTAGGTTTGAGGATGGAGTTGTAAATAGGAGATAGATGGTATCTGAGTCTCCATTTCTGTTTAGAGAAGGATTCTCTTTCCTAACAAAAATATCCTCTTTAACTCTCCTCTCAAACCAATTCTTTTCTCTGGCTCAGATCTGTACCTCACTGTCCGCAAAGGAGAGGCCCGAGGCTTTTAGGTGGAGATGCACAGCAGACTGAGGTCCTTTTAGGTGGAGATGTACAGCAGACTGAGGTCCTTTTAGGTGGAGATGCACAGCAGACTGAGGTCCTTTTAGGTGGAGATGTACAGCAGACTGAGGTCCTTTTAGGTGGAGATGTACAGCAGACTGAGGTCCTGTGTTGCTCTCTCGTCTGTGTTGGTTCATCCTCTTGTGAAGTGTCTGTTTTGTTTCTCCAGTGTGGTGTTCACTTCAGTCTTCACTACACTGAATGGGGTAGAGCACATTGTTTTGTTTGTGTCTCTGTGTTTTGTCTTTTGGTTGGACCAGTTTGTTTTAAAGTGTTTGTAGGTTTGAAATAAATCAGGATTTCATGTTGTCTGAAAATCCTCTGTAGTTTTTTAGAAACACCAGCCATGTAAGGAATAGTTGCCCCTTTTCTCCTGGGTTCTAATTCTCTGTGGTCTTGTTTTTTAGCTCTTTTGGTTTTGTTGAAGGCTCATTTTGGATATCTGCAAACTGCAAATGGATATCACAAAATTTGGAGATGTGAAAACTTACAAGTATTACAAGTTTTTCATCATGTGATGTTTTCATATAAATATAAGGCATTTTATCTATAAAAACAGCTAAATTTGACCATATTTGGGACATATAAAGCAAAAATATGTAAAGATAGGTTTAAATGAGCTTTTTCTATTGACATATCAGATACAAAAAAAACATACAGAGGAGATTTTTGGAGAAAATGAAATTTCAGTGAAAATTAGCTAAAAAAAAAATCTTCATTTTTTGGAGAAGCTGAATTTTGGAAAACAAAAAACAAAAATAATAATAATAAAAAATAAAGTTTGTTTGTAGTATCTCAAATAAAATAATAATAATAAAAATAATATTAACAATCCGAACGTTTTTTTTTCCCTCGCATTTATGAATATTCTTCAGAATTTCCTGAACATAAATGACAGACGCTCTTTTGCTGACAGAGGATTGGCTGCAGACTTCTCCATTATAAAAAGCTCTGATCACTGAATATTAGACACGACTGATGAAATCCTGCGATAAGTCAAAATGTGTTTCATGTGCAGTTCTGTGGTCTCGAGTGTTCACACTCCAGTGCTGAGTCTGAACATTCATAACTAGATCGAGAAAATAAGTGAGTCAAATCAAGTCAAACTGAAGGGACTCCTCCAGGGACTCTCCTGAACAGAATGAGGTCTCCAGACCAACATGTGGTCTTTTTGATGTTCACAACAAAACTACAGTTATGTCTGTTTAGAGTTTCAAACGGCACAGTTTCTCACGATCTAGGATGTGTGGTCCTGGTTTAGTTCTGTTCTTGTCCTGGTTTAGTCCTGTTCTAGTTCTGTCTAGTCTCTGTTAGTCCTGTTCTAATTGTGGATTAATCCAGTTCTAGCCCTGTTCTAATATTTTTCTAGTCCTGTTCTAGGCCTGGTTTAGTCCTGTTCTAGTTCTGGTTTACTCCCTGTTAAATCCTGGTTTAGTCTGTATTCAGTCCTGTTCTAGTTCTAGTATAAGCCTGTTTAGTCCTGATTTATTCCCTGTTTAGTTCTGTTCTAGTTCTGGTTTAGTCCTGTGCTAGTCCTTTTTTAGTTATGGTCTAATCCTGTTTTAGTCCTGTTCTAGTCCTGATTTAGTCCTGTTGTCCTGAATAGGTCTGTGGTTAGTCCTGATGCTGGTTTTGTCATGTTTTAGTCCCGGAAAGTACGTTTCTAGCAGCATTATCAGAAGTATTTTCAATTTCTTTCAATGATGCAACTTTTATCCCCCCAACATCCCGGTCTCCTCCTCAGCATGTCGGAAGATGGACAAAGCAGATGTATTTTTCTGTGGTCAGTGTGCGTGTTCAGTGTGTGTGTTCAGTGTGCATTTGCGTGTGTTTGTTTTTAATGCATCTCTCTGAAGCCGAATCCAGCAGCCAAAAATCAGCGCTGAAATCAGGGATACAGGACACGGCTCCAGATCCACTCGTCTTTCTAAAGTTGAGTGTTTTCAGTTTGAGAGAACTCCTAAATGTGCAGGGTTTGTGTGAATGAAACAAAACACAACTCCACATCTGTATGTGAAGAGGAAACTACATTAGAACACAAATCAGAAGCATAATATGAGCCAAGTGAAGTGAAAAAAAAAACAAAAAACACAACACACTGACCAACATGACCATCTCATAAACTTTTACACACTTTTGAGAGCATATGGTTAAACAATTAAAAGAAATCCTGGTTTTCTCTCTCCCGATAATAATAGACAGATTTTATTTGTCTGATCCTTGAAGTTCAAGACTACTGGAGACTAACAGGCTTGTCAAATGTAAAAAAAAAAAACCAAAACTCTGATCCAATCCATTAAAACCAGTATCAAAACTGCATCATCATTTGAGCAGGTACTGATGCTAAAAGTCCCACTGAACCTTTCCTGAATGTTTTTAGAATGATGTTGATCTGTATCAGAACAAGTACGAGCACATAGACTAATATACACACATGGACCATTGTCCTATGAATTACTATGATGTAATATTGTAAATTACATTCTATTGTCTAAATAAAGAGTGGTTTTAATTGTCTTTGTGGTACTGGAAATGGTAAAGAGTATATTAGTTAATAAATAAACCTTAATTCCTTAATAAATCAACATTTGTCAGGATGCTTTAAAAACTTCTAAGCCATTCATTCATTTTCAGAAACAGTGTGCTCCCAGAACAGGGAGTGAGCTCTATGTTACCTAAATTTATCCTTAAAACATTTTAGAACCTTTAAGTAAAATAGAAACCTATTAATATTCTTAACACCAACGACACAGATTTGACACTGATTCAGTAAAAGAATCCAAAGTAAAAGTAGGACATTTTCATGGAGGTTTGCAGAGCATGTTGTTGTAGTGATCAGTGGTCTGTTGTTATATTTTTGTATATCCAGCGTGGAACCATGCAGATGGTACAAATCAAAAGCTCTCATTTCCAAACATTGTGAACTTAAACGGTGGTGAATTCTGAGCTGCACATTTTTGAATTTGGCGGGAAAGTGAAGTTTGTGAAAATGAGTTTGTGTTTTTCCAGAGGAGGGGACAGGTCCGGGTACAAAGGGTGCTCTATGCTCTTCTTTGGGTTGTACCACTGGTTTTTCTTCAGGCAGAACTGTGGACAGACACAACACAGGCATGTCAATAAGGGACAGGTGTATTTAAAGGACACTAGCACAGTGTACACTCAGAGTAAAGGCTCGGTAAGAAGCAGAATTTCATCCAGCAGAGATGGAATCATATTTTTAAAATGTCTCAGTTTATGGACAGGCCTCATGTGAAGCTCAGAACCTCCAGAATTCCTCCCTGAGCTGCAGAGGCTGCACTAGCACTGACTGGTGCAGGTGCTGGGGTTTAGGAAGAGATCATTCAGATCAGAGAGACATTTTAGGTTTAAACACACTGAATTTCAGCACTGAAACTGGCAACACAAACGAGAGACTGTGAGGCTTTCTGATTGGATAATCATCTTGAATCAAAACTAAAAATGATGAATTATTATGAATATTATTATATATGAGTAGTTTATGAATTGCCTAATCTCTAGCTCTGATATGTGCCAGATCTGTCAAACTCAAACTGAGCGTTCACTTTAGAGACACGTCTCACTCAGTGACACCTCTGAAGAAGTCGCTTTTGTACTATTCATCTTATCACAATAAAAAAACAAAACAAACAAAAATAAGTTTATAACAAATGGACATAATTTCCAATGTTTCTGTAATTAATAAATCAGCATTACAATTGTCATCAGCAAAAACTATATTAGTTTCTTATTTGGTTGAAGTGAAAGCTGACCAGCATCCCGTCACTGACTCCTTTCACACACCTGGTCTCCTGACTACTTTCATTTCTCCAGAACAAAGACAGTGTCATTAAAGTGAATCAGATTCTGCCCTAAGCATCATTACTCTTACTGTGTGTGTCTGTGTGTGTACGTGTCTGTGTCTGTGTGTGTGTGTGTGTGTGTGTGTGTGTGTGTGTGTGTGTGTGTGTGTGTGTATCTCTGAGGTGAAGGTGTAAAAATACTCACTAAAGTCAGAGCTAAACCCAGAACCACAAACAGAAGCAGACCGGCTCCCAGGACCAGCAGCTGTGAGGGGCTCCCAGCAGGCACATGGACCACAGGGACCGCAGGGACCACAGGCTCTGGGGAGTTCAGACGAGACCCACGTGTAGGCTCTTCTGTAGGGCAACCTGGAACAAAGGGGAAAGAAGGACTTAATTAGGGCTGCACAATCTATTGCCAACTGCTGGGTTTCAGATGACATCAGAGTGTTGTATTGGCCAATCATATTTAATACAGACGAGAGGCAGGTTAAATAAATCAACATTTTCAACATTTGTGAATTTATCTTTTGGAGACTTCATGGTAAATTACAATATAATTCATAGGAAAACTGTCTACAGCTTTGCAAGATCATCATTACAAACAAATCGAAATCTGAATTTGAATGGATGTAATTTGCAAATGACACTGTGTCATAATTTCCTCCATAAACAAAAGCCCCTGTCTTTTTTATTGGATTTATATAGCATCTTTATACAGTGCAGACCACCACCATCACTCACTCACACACACACACACCATTCATACTAGGCCTTGTAGGTGAAGTGTCTTGCCGAAGGACACAACAATAGTTTTTTTTTTTTGCCACTGGTGCTGACTGTGGTGTCTGGTGTTCCCAGTGGTCTCCCATCAGAAATCAATACAAATTATAAAAGTGCATATATATGTTGTTTTTTTTTTTTTTGCAAACATCAATATTTGCAGCATGAAGTGCATATTCATCAGAGAGAAAGTAACATTAAAACAACATAGAAAAGAGGAAAGTACAGGGATCAAGAGTAGGGCTGTGTAAATATACTGAACTATCAACCAAAGTGTAGCGATGTAATGAAACAATTTGGTAAAATATACCAAAAAATACTCTTGGCAATATATCGATACAGCAGTCCATCATATCGATACTGGATCACCACATTTAACAATATGATGTATTGATACATAATCTGGCATTGATTTCTGATGTATATTTACCTGCCCGCTGACAACTATGATTAAAGGACCAGGCTGGGTTAAGCTGAACGTTGTATCTTGTATAGTACTGTGTGGGCATCTCCTGTGATTCCCTCTCGGATTGGCCAACCAGTCAGTGGGCACAAGGTTTTGTGGAAGAAAAGTAATTATTCTCTGGTTTTAGTTTTCATTCTGGTTAACAAAGACATGTGATGTGTTTACACTTTGCATCCACACATGTACCGGATCAGTAAATATCTACGTCCACAAGAGTGAAAACGATGTAATACATCTGCCACATCTGTATGTGGCGCTGTTAACAATGATAATAATATTTAATAATGTATATCTCATCACCGGTTTTTAAACTTTAAGGTAATTTAGCCGATTTTAGATGTATCCCAGAAATATAGCTGTTTTGTTTTGCAAAAGTTAAACATAAGTCACAGAAAGAACCCTCATATTCCACTGAGTCGTGTTCTTTAGTCCGACAGAAGCTGAACTGCATCAGTGCACAATAGTGAGATGTTTTTTGAGCGCATAGTTTATGTAAAGAAGCCATGCCGTTTTAAGTTTCGTGTCTGCAAAACATAAACAAATATGCACAAAGCCGTGTGGATAGGGAAGACTTGCGGACACAGACACGACGTGTCTGGACGCAGATCGTTTCTGATACGGTGATACGTGGATTCGTTTCAGTGTAAACATAATCTTTGTTATTGATCCGTGTGTGTAATCTGCGGTGCGTGTTGTTAGTATTGGCGTTAGCAGTGTGTCTCGGTTGCTGGGTGATGGGAGCGGCTCTGTAGGTTACACCTGTCCCATTTTGGCAACACTTGTGGACTGTGGAGGCTCGTTTGAGGGCTGCGGGCTTCGCTGCATCAGAAGACCCTGACGATGACGGGATCGTGACGGGATCGTTTTCCAAAAGTTGTGGTTTGCTTGTCCACAAGACAACACAATGCCAGTTTTCTCAGATTTCTCCGCTCAGGGACCCGTTCCCAAAAAACTCAGTTTTCGTCCACCCAAAATGCCATGTGGACGAAAGGCCAAAACAAATACAAACTTTTCCGTTTTGACCAAAAAACATTGTGGTGTGGACGGCCCCTTAGAGACTTTACCCATGATACCATCAAGGGCCCCTGGGGTCTTCACCTGTTGCCTCCTGCTGCTATCCTTTGTTATCTCAGCTGTACTTGATATGTTAATCTTTTGAAACAATGACACTGTTTTACCAAAAGGGTTTTTTATGAGGGTGCTTTGTTATTGCTGTGAAATTCCTTCAGACTTTACCCACCTCTTTGTGTATAAAATGCTTGCTATACCTTTGCTCGTGCTCAGCTTGCTCCACAGACACCGTGTGTGTCAGAAGCTCACCATGTGCCTGCTTCCAACATGGAACTTCTAACCAGTAATGACAACAACAGCAAACCACATATGAACATGGAATTTTTCTTCTTCAACAGTTTATATGGGAATGACACACAGAGAGAACCATGACCTGAGGAGGATCTACTGATATAAACATTGTCACTCATTAAATGCAGTTTGGAGTAAGTGTGCAGATCATGTCTCACTCTCTGTTCACTGTGATGTTTATTTATACTTCTTACAACATTTTTGAACTGTTTAGCAGCTGCACTTTACTTTCAGTTCATTGTTCCTTTTCAGTTTAAAATGTTAGGCCAGTGTAAATTTTTGCAGATTTACAAAAATCTGGCAAAAAGAAGTAATGAAATGATAATTTATACATTTATGCCAAACCTACTGGAAAATTTCTGAGCGTGAGTACAGTCTGTTTACAGTGTAAAATAATCTAGTCAAAACAGCGGCTTTGTTTTTACAGGTTTAAAAGTCAAATAAGGTGAGTAACTATCATGTGTTTAAAATACAAATATTACTGAAACCTTTCATCAGCTCATCTAAATACCCAGTGTTTTCCCAAGAAGTAAATCTGACTTTTCCAAAAATGACACTGGAGTAGTTTTGTTCTCGACATGAGACATTATGTCAGGAACAAAAGATCTGACTCTCTCCCAGTTCAGCTGACATTATAAAAGTATCATAAAGGTTTATAAATGTATATTGTTCATGTTTTACCTGTGACACTGAGGCGGACACGTCCCTCTCTGTTCTGTTCGCCCACAGGTGCAGCCAGATAACACTGGTACACTGCCTGGTCTGAGCAGGTCACTGTGGGCAGCTGCAGGTTCAGAGTCCCCTCCTCCAGAGAGATCCTCGTGTCTGCGTCCACATACCACCTCATCTGACCAGCAGGGAGCGCTTTGGACACCAGCCCACTCAGACGAGGGACTCCGGTCTCCTGCACAAGTAGCGTTGTTAGTTGGCAGTGCAATTCCAGCTCCAACAGATGAATACTATTGTTTTGTCCTTGGGACAGCAGTTCAGTTCTGGTTTCGACCCAGTTCAGTCATAACCTGGCCAGACTAGACACTTGACCTGAATTATACAAAGACACATGTAGTCTGAGACTCGTGACTTTCACTGGGAGTGAATGACATACAGATGCTTCATTCATAACAAAGCATGCATTTTTTCACAAGAAATACTGACTTTGAAAATCACTGAGTGAAGTTCTAGATTTGGTTGTGAACGATAGATGTCAGAGAGCATTTGTGCTCTAAATAAAAGTACATTTCTGGATCGACAATGAACATTGTCAGAGATATAATTTGCTGTGAGCATGATACTAGACCCTCCTACACTCAAACATTAAGAGAGTTTGACTCACCAGGCTATAAAAATATTCACATGTTTTATAAGTATGAGAAAGCTGCAGAAAGCCCCGGGTTATTAATATAGGGCTGTTCATATTTATTTATACACAGTCTCGTCTGACTCTCCACTGTCTGATCTCTGCTGGTTAGTCACCATGCATAGTCAAATTGTGTTAATGTTATGTGTGTTTTATGAATATACTTCCTGGAAAAGAAAATGACATGTTTTGCATTTGTTCCTCTGAAATAAAAAATATATCATTTTAGCTAAATAAGGTTCTACAGAGCAACTATGGACATGGTTAACCTGCTAGTCGCCACATTCCAAACAGGAAGTGATGATGGGCGCAATTTAGCTCCATCGAGTCCAGCTCCAAATCCCTCTCTATACTGAAAAAATAAATAAATAAAAAAATCACCCTTCTCTCTCTAACTGCTGCGGTCAGGCCTGTCATTTTAGTCTTAAGTCAAGGAACATGAGCAGGTTAAAAAAAACATTTTGTTATTTCATCCATAAATCAAGATAACAGACAAATGCAGTGCACATTCTTTCTCCAAGGTCGCCTCAGTGAACTTCACTCAGCAGGAGTCAAAAGATATGGGTAATGTCCCTCTCTTAGCTCACTTCTTTATACACCAGTGAGGTTCATTTTGTCTTCCGATAATTTATGTTATTAGATAATTTTTTCAGACCAAGAGTTTGTTTTCATCCCTGACAGTTTGTCCTGCTCCTTGCACTCTTCCTCAGAGTCACGTGATGTTGCTGTGACATGTCTGCTCAACTGATTTATACAGGTTTTGGTGCTGACTTCCTACAAACACCTTCGATGGATTAAAGAGGCTATCAAAATATGGAAACATGCCCACAGGACTATAAACTGGGACGAGGGGGCTGTTTTACTCTCACACACCTGGGATACTGTCCTGAGGAAGTGGGACTGCACTTGGTGCGGTCGTCCTGCCTCCACCGGGAGGAAGACCGCGCCAAAACCTGTTTAAATCATCTGAGCGACACGTGACTCTGAGGAAGAGCACAGGGAGCAGAACAAACTGTCAGGGATAAAAACAAACTCTTGATCTGAAAAAATAACCTAATAGCATACATTTCTTTATATAGTCTGTGGTTTAGACCCACAATGAAACATTGGTGAGGTCATCCACACTTTTGAAATGCCTGCTGTAACAGAGTCACCTTGAAAAGAAATACTATTCATGCACATCAATGCCAGTCCCTGTATTCAGAGTGATGGTTCACATGGAATGAAAATTCTGTTAGCACATGTGCAATTTTAGTCTTATGAAATGATGGCAAACATGTTGATATGAAACAAAGAATTAAAGAATTGCTTAACTATTGAAAAACAAGGACTTAACTAGGACTAAGGAACATATCAAGTCTACACCAGGACTAAACCAATATGCTGTAAATGATTTAAATGATTGCAACAGCTCTTATATTACAAAATACTTCTGCACACAGCAAACCATTTCTTAATAATATGGCATTTAAAAACAACTCACAAGTTCTGTTAGACATTTATAAGAAACTCTGAGATCATAGTTAACTAAATTAAAATGACCAAAAAAAAAACAACAACAACAACAAGCTACATAGTTTTAATTTTTATTTCTTACTTCAAATAGTGGTGTAAAGCTGTATAACAGAGAAAGTAAAAGTAACTAGCAAAGCGAATGTAAAACTGAACTTCTAAAGAGTAAACAAAACCTACAACTCAGCCGTGTCTACAGCAAGTGATATAAAGCAGAATTATTGGAGACCAGACCAGTCACCACTTAAACCAGCTATTAATTATGAAAAAGCTACTTAATAATGGATTTAACCAGGATTAATGTCTCTGGTCTTTAGCCTTGCAAAACCTGTTGTTTCAAATTCCCAGAAGGAAGAAAAAACTTACAAGGTCAAATGCCAAACAATAACATTCAAAGCGGTGTCCTGTTCCAACCTTTACTTTGTATTAAAAAAAAAAAAAAAAAGTAAGTAAAGTAAAATAAAACTTTAATAATGAAAAATATATATTATACCTTATACCAGCGGCATGCCCAGTACTGCAGACCTGGTTTTTGCTCGGCTGTACAAGGCAGGGTCACATTTCGACCTGGATTTACTTCAAATTCATACAGCTTATCTTCAATTGCTGACACAAAAATGAAAGTGAAAGCTGTAAAACAAACAAACAAAAAAATAAAAATACACACAAATAAATTTGAGTTCGCACATGAGCACATTCTCACAATATCGTGGAGGTTTTCTCTTGATACACAGAGCAGTTTAAAAAAAAAATATTTTTTTTTATTTTTGAGATTTTTATAATTACCTAAAGAACCACAACAAAATGTCTAACAAGCTGCTGCAGATCTCTGCACTAAAAGCATGCATCTGATTAACTGTACTTGTAAACAAAGGTTGCACAATCCACTTCAAATGCAGTGAAGTAAAAACGTATGTAAAAAAAAAAAAAAGCTCTAAAACGTAAAATAAGCAGAGGAAAACGCGCATTTATAATCTTAACCGTCACAGATGCATTGATAAATAAAGGCGTAAAGCTGCGTGAGTTGAACCAGAAAACATAAAAGAATAAAGCACAGAGAAAAATCGTGCAGGACGAAGATTAAAGACACACGAGCGAGTTACAGAAGCGAGAAAACGTCGAAAAAATAAGTGTGCACATCGTACTTACGCAGAAGAATCGGCCAAACACGAACCATATTTCCGATGCAGGAAAGATACGTCCAAGTAGAAAAGAAAGTTCTAACATTTGTTTATCTCTGTTCCCCAGGCCTGTCGCTGCAGCCAATCCAGTTCTTCTTCCTTTTCTAGTGGAGCCTGTTTTTGGTTTTATATTAACTGTGGTGCATGTGCTGCCACCTCCTGGTAATCAGAGTACAGATTATGAGTAACTGTATTCAGTTACAGTTACTTTATTGAAATAAATGGATTCCACAGAGGTATTTTCCTGTTTTCACATTTTGGACTATATCCCTTTTTTTTTTTTTTTAAATTTAGTTAAATAAAGTCTGGGCTTTTCATTTTCTTTTACCAGACAAATCATCTTATGTTACGATATCCTGGTCTTTGCTTCTCTACAGCAAACCAAGTAATCCAAAGTATTCAGATTACATTACTCACTTTAAGTAATTTAATGGATTACGTTACAAACTACATTTTGGGGTATGTAATCTGTAATCTGTAGGGGATTACATTTTAAAAGTAACCTTCCCAACACTGTACATTTAGTGGAAGGGGACCAGATTTTCAAAATGAAAAACTGGGACACCCCCGATTTGTGGTGGATGATAATAATAAAATATTGAAATGAATGTGTAATTAAGGAAAACTGTTGAATCATGACGAACATCACATTTTCTTTGTGTTCTGGCCATTTTTAAGCAGCTTTTCTGTATTGTACCTAAATGTATGCCTCTCTTTACTGTTGGCAGGTGTCAAATTGGTCAAAAATAGGGACACCTGGGACATTTCTTGTAAAAACTGGGACAAATCTGCTGGGACAGGGGACACGAGGCCCAAAACTGGGACTGTCCCGGGTAAATAGGGACGTCTGGTCACCATAATTTAGTGCCTTCCTTGTTTTCTCAACAAAACAAAAAATTTATGAAATATACCACACAGCCACAGCCGTCGACTTTCTACCTTCACTTCAGCGTCCTTTCAAATCATCCCTTGTGACATTTTAATCCACAGATCAGACCCTCCTCCACTTTTAAACAGCATACGGCTTTACAAAATCATTTTATTTAAACAAATATTAGTGTTATCGTGATATTAAAGTTAGATTCTTACGCATTACGTTATAGATATTGTAGTGACTATTTGTCAAATAAAAGTAACAAACAAAAGCGTGGGCAAACTCAGAACTAAACATAACTCAAATAATCACCTTTGGGCACCATGGGTATGTGGTTTACGCAGTACAAATCAATGTCCATGACTAGAGATGATTTTCCAAGGTTTATTTTCCAGTTTTTGGGCAAGCAACAAGGAATACATGTTTAAGGTGACTCCTGCTGCCTCTCCTCGTGACTGGCAAAAAACCATAGGCCCACCCAGGTGCACTCTGGTCTACGTGTACCACCCTCCTTTATCCCCGAGGTGACCCAAATTAAACCATCCATCCATCCATTTTCGTCCGCTTATCCGGGGCCGGGTCGCGGGGGGAGCAGCCTAAGCAGGGACTCCCAGACTTCCTTCACCCCAGACACGTCCTCCAGCTCCTCCGGGGGGACCCCGAGGTGTTCCCAGGCCAGCCGAGAGACATAGTCCCTCCAGTGTGTCCTGGGTCTTCCCCGGGGCCTCCTCCCGGCGGGACATGCCCGGAACACCTCCCGAGGGAGGCGCCCAGGAGGCATCCGGAACAGATGCCCGAGCCACCTCAACTGGCTCCTCTCCACGTGGAGGAGCAGCGGCTCTACTCCGAGCTCCTCCCGTGTGACTGAGCTCCTCACCCTATCTCTAAGGGAGCGCCCAGCCACCCTGCGGAGGAAACTCATTTCAAGCGCTTGTATCCGCGATCTCGTCCTTTCGGTCACTACCCAGAGCTCATGACCATAGGTGAGAGTAGGAACGAAGACTGACCGGTAAATCGAGAGCTTCGCCTTTCGACTCAGCTCCCTCTTCACCACAACGGTCCGATACAGCGACCGCATCACTGCAGACGCTGCACCGATCCGCCTGTCAATCTCACGTTCCGTCCTTCCCTCACTCGTGAACAAGACCCCGAGATACTTGAACTCCTCCACTTGAGGCAAAGACTCCCCACCCACCCGGAGAGGGCAAGCCACCTTTTTCCGGTCGAGAACCATGGCCTCGGACTTGGAAGAGCTGATCTTCATCCCAGCCGCTTCACACTCGGCTGCAAACCGCCCCAGTGCACATTGCAGGTCCTGGTTCGATGAAGCCAACAGGACAACATCGTCCGCAAACAGCAGAGATGAAATCCTGTGGTCCCCAAACCGGACCCCCTCCGGCCCCTGACTGCGCCTAGAAATTCTGTCCATAAATACAATGAACAGAACCGGTGACAAAGGGCAGCCCTGGCGGAGTCCAACATGCACCGGGAACAGGTCTGACTTACTGCCGGCAATGCGAACACAGCTCCTGCTCCGGTCATACAGGGACCGGACAGCCCTTAGCAAAGGGCCCCGGACCCCATACTCCCAGAGCGCCCCCCACAGGACACCACGAGGGACACGGTCGAATGCCTTCTCCAGATCCACAAAACACATGTGGACTGGTTGGGCAAACTCCCATGAACCCTCGAGCACCCGATGGAGAGTGTAGAGCTGGTCCAGTGTTCCACGGCCAGGACGAAAACCACACTGCTCCTCCTGAATCCGAGGTTCGACTATCGGCCTGATTCTCCTCTCCAGTACCCTGGCATAGACCTTACCGGGAAGGCTGAGAAGTGTGATCCCCCTATAGTTGGAACACACCCTCCGGTCCCCCTTCTTATACAGAGGGACCACCACCCCGGTTTGCCAGTCCAGAGGTACTGTCCCCGACCGCCACGCGATGTTGAAGAGGCGTGTCAGCCAAGACAGCCCCACAACATCCAGAGACTTCAGGTACTCAGGACGGATCTCATCCAACCCCGGAGCCTTGCCACCAAGGAGCTTGCCAACCACCTCAGTGACTTCGGCCAGGGTGATGGATGAGTCCGCCTCTGAGTCCCCAGCCTCGGCCTCCTCCTCGGAGGACGTGACGGTGGGATTGAGGAGATCCTCAAAGTATTCCTTCCACCGCCGGACAACGTCCCCAGTCGAGGTCAGCAGCTCTCCCCCCGCACTGTAAACAGTGTTGGTGAAGAACTGCTTTCCCCTCCTGAGGCGCCGGACGGTTTGCCAGAATCTCTTTGAGGCCGTCCGATAGTCCTTCTCCATGGCCTCCCCGAACTCCTCCCAGCTCCGAGTTTTTGCCTCCGCGACCACACGGGCTGCAGCACGCTTGGCCCGCCGGTACCTGTCAGCTGCCTCAGGAGTCCCCCGAGCCAGCAAGGCCCGATAGGACTCCTTCTTCAGCTTGACAGCATCCCTTACTTCCAGTGTCCACCACCGGGTTCTGGGGTTGCCGCCGCGACAGGCACCACAGACCTTACGCCCACAGCTCCGAGCAGCTGCATTGACAATAGAGGCCGAGAATGAAGCCCACTCGGACTCCATATCTCCGGCCTCCCCCGGAATCCGGGAGAAGTCCTCCGGAGGTGCGAGTTGAAGGTCCCTCTGACAGAGGGCTCCGCCAGACGTTCCAACAGACCCTCACTACACGCTTGGGCCTGCCAGGTCTTTCCGGCTTCCTCCTCCGCCAGCGAACCCAACTCACAACCAGGTGGTGATCAGTTGACAGCTCAGCCCCTCTCTTCACCCGAGTGTCCAAGACACGCGGCCGGAGATCAGATGACACGACGACAAAGTCGATCATCGACCTCCGGCCTAGGGTGTCCTGGTGCCACGTGCACTTATGGACACCCTTGTGCTCGAACATGGTGTTCGTTATGGACAAACTGTGACTAGCACAGAAGTCCAATAACAAAACACCACTCGGGTTCAGATCGGGGAGGCCGTTCCTCCCAATCACCCCTCTCCAAGTGTCACTGTCGTTGCCCACGTGGGCGTTGAAGTCCCCCAGGAGAACAACGGAGTCCCCGGTCGGTGCACTGTCTAGTACCCCTCCCAAGGACTCCAAGAAGGCCGGGTACTCTGCACTGCTGTTCGGCCCGTAGGCCGACACCACAGTGAGAGACCTGTCCCCGACCCGAAGGCGCAGGGACGCGACCCTCTCGTTCACCGGGATGAACTCCAACACACAGCGACTGAGCTGTGGGGCAATGAGCCCACACCAGCCCGCCGCCGCTCCCCGCGGCCAACGCCAGAGATATGGAGAGTCCAGCCCCTCTCAAGGAGTTGGGTTCCAGAGCCCAAACTGTGCGTGGAGGTGAGGCCGACTATATCTAGTCGGTAACGCTCAACCTCCCGCACAAGCTCAGGCTCCTTCCCCCCCAGCGAGGTGACATTCCATGTCCCCAGAGCTAGTCTCCATGTCCGGAGATCTGGTCGCCGAGGCCCCCGCCGTCGACTGCTGCCCAGATCTCTCTGCACCGGCCCCATATGGATCCTCCTGCGGGTGGTGGGCCCACGTGAGGACGGCCCCACGTCGCTCCTTCGGGCTGAGCCCGGCCGAGCCCCGTGGGGGGAGGCTCGGCCACCAGGCGCTCGCTGGCGAGCACCCACCCCAGGCCTGGCTCCAGGGTGAGGCCCCGGTGACGCCAATCCGGGCGACGTAACTGGCCTTGCTCGTACACTCATCATAGGGGCTTCTGAACCGTTCTTCGTCTGACCCGTCCCCCCGGACCTGTTTGCCTTGGTTTTTTTTTTTTTTTTTTTTTTCCAAATTAAACCAAAAACAAAAAAAGAGGTGCTAACGTAAATAATACCAACTTAGACTAAGAAATTAGTAAGAATAATATTAACATAGCAAAAATATATTATACAAATTAACAAAACTAAATTAGTAAGCTAATTAACAAACAAAAATAATAAACACATTTTAGAATCAACAAAATAAGCAAATAGCTCCTACAGATATTATTTTTTAAAGGGAAATAAAAAAGCCTAAAAAGTATCGCGACAACTCTTTGACACATGTTGTACTCTAGTAATTCTCCTGGACTGAGACAATTTTGCATTGAAAGTGTTGAATTTTGTGATTCAAAGTGCAATAACAAATTGTTGAGATGTTCCTTACTAAACGATTCCTTTCCCAAGCCAGTTAAGAGATTATATTCTTAAAAGGAA